TACCTAGTCTGCAAGTTGACATCTTATAGGTTTTTTTTTCGAAGTTTGATAGGTTTTTTACATGATACCCATGCTGGTAATAGGAGAACGGCTACTACTGTTGAAAAATGCGCCGAACTTGTATCACTCTTTAAATGTAATAATTCACACCACCTAAGATGGTTATAGATCAGACAATTGCATGAGTACCCTCGGGGGAGTTTGGGGACCGTTTCACCCGAAGTATTAAAATTCAAACAACGAAGGACTTTATTTAACAGAAGACGAATGAGTACTGGTCACATTCTTTTACAGGTACCTCCTATTTATAACCTAAGCTAGAACTAGGAATTGAAAAGCGCAAACCTGAGCACCTCTACAAATGAGATCATCATCATAGCAGTGCCGTAGTTGGCTAGGTCAAAGGAATTGAAAGGTGCAAACGTAAGCCTCTCTACATATGAGGTCATCATAGCAGTGCCGTAATTCCTCCCTCTTCAAGAAGATTGAACCTCCTGGTTCAAAGGAAAAATTACATTAAGTTCAAAGTCATTTTTGACTGATTGATTTTTGGGTTCTTTAATATTCAAAAGGGAGAGCAACTGCGTTTTCAAACAAAGTAGAAATACGATAAATGGCAAGGTACATAAAATAGATATAATGATAAACGTGGAAATTTTATATGAAAAATCTAAGTTTTTTAATTTGTCATCAATAAAATATTACTCGATTGTACGAGTATATCTGAATAACCTTTTACATTTCCAAACATATTCTCATCATAGTTCACTTCTACGTTAAGTACATGCAAAAGTTTCGAAATATGTTTTTATATGATTTGGAAGTTTAGTTAGAGTAACATAGGTAAGTAACATAAATAAAAAAAGATCTAGGTGAATGATAATTGTGTCAGTTTGATAACTAAACTAAATGTTTTAGAACGTTTGAGACATGCTTCATTTTAAAGATAGACCCTCATAATGTTTAAACACAGCTTTTAATGTTCAGAAAAAAAACATTTGCTCCTTACTCCCCTTGTATGGACCAATCCAAACCAAAACTGCTGACTTTTTTCTATTCGTCATTGTCTGACAAGGCGATCCGTAAGACCTTTGCCTTTATGTGAAAGTACGTCAGTCAGTTTGTCATTCTGTCGGCCTGGTCACCCAGAAACCAGAGATGAATAATAGAAATAATTATAAAAGTAATAATAATAATTATAATAATTATGGTTATAATTATAATTATAATAATTAATAGATAATAGAAAAGGATGAAAGAAGAGGAAGAGCAAAGAGTAAAAGATACAACTGTTAGAAATAGCGTTTGAGCATTGTTGAAAATTACTGTAATAATTTCGGATGCCGAAAAAGAATTTGGTTAAAATATTATTCTGTATTATACGAAACTGCGCGATTCAATTTTCTTCGCAGCAAAGAATTGCAATACGATTCTGCTGGATCATAGCGACGCTCTGTCTGATGTTTCAACTGCTATCTATTGAATAAATGTGTCAGTTTGACACGGTAACTAGGTATTTTAAAGTATTTGTAAAATGAGTTGAAAACGTCCTGAATTGTAATCCAAAAATGTCGTGAAACACAGTGTTAGAATATTCTATACATACTTCTTAAACTAGGTATGCAATATAATATTCTTTTTTTAGCTATTTCTACCGTTCTATATGTAATTTTTGTCTCTCTGATGCTCCACCGACCACGAAAGCCATCCTCTTCTTTCTTTCATGTGGTCTCCGACCGAACGTCATTTCCATATATGAATTTTTTCCTTTGCCAGCTAGGGCGCTTTAAATCCTACCCAAATCTGCTTTGATACAGGCTCCTCTTTGCGCTGACATATGCCAAATAGGAAAAACATAGGCGGAAGAAAAGATATGTCCTCCAGCCTAAATAAACGAGCCCACGACGTGGGATTTTCCTTGAACATGTGTACGGTATCAAAGTTTTTTTTTTGTCCTGCATGTCACGTAAAACGAAGGATTTGTCTTTTTGTGTAGGATGTGAGGTATTACCTTTTATTTAAGGAAGTATCTTGCATCAAGAATTTATGCACCAAGGTTTTTTTAAGACGTAGCTGAACTGTACTTTTCACAATGATACCTGAAACGTGCATTACATATTGAAGTATACTCAGTGACATTAGAAGTGTTAGACCCAGAAAAAATATTTATTCAACTTTTGTATTGGCAACATGATAACTATTATTTAACGCATGCTGTGGCAACAATATCAACGTTTTATCTTTGTTTTTGTTCACCTTCGCTAAAATATCTCTTTGTTTTTTTTGTAGAAAGCTGTTCCTGAGAGCTGAGTAGTACAGATACTTTTAGTTATTGCCCTTTCATTTACTAGTGTTAAGCTTAACAAAATCCCTCGAGTTTGAGGTCATCCAAATTATCACCATGTTACGGACTTTGACTGGGGTAGAATTATTCCCTATCGAGATGTTGGTTTGTTCTATCGCGCAATTGGCCGCCACGTTAATTATACTGCAATGGCGGTAATGCATACGTGTCGTATGTGGATAGAAGAAGGTAAAGGAACACGAAGAAGGCCAACTGGTCCACCGAGGCGTACCACAGAGTGTCAAGATAGACGCTTCAGAGCTCTACGAGACCGTTTTGCTACTACGCGTCAGATCGCTGACCAATGGTTTGGAGAAAGTGGAAGTGTTACTGTGCGTAACACTGTATCAACGCATTCGAGCCTTTGGACTTTTTTCATAGCGCCCACTGTTAATAAATCTTCTGACTGTGGACCACTGTCGTCAACGTTTGAACTGGAGCAGACAACGGCAGCATTGGGAGACAGAATGGCATAATGACATCTTCAGCGACGACTCGCAATTGTGTGTAGGTACACACGATGGTCATAGAAGGAAATCTTGAAACCAATTTTGAACCAAATGAGCTGAAATTTCACATACACACTTGATTCGCGTGACAATACAAGATTAGTTGAATGCCGCCGTGTTAAATCTAATATGGTGGCTGCTACGAAATGACGATTTATAGTGTGGATAGCAAATTTGAAATGAGCAAAGTGACGTCATGTCCCAATCTTTAAATGAGATTGGAGCAAACAAGACAATTTTTAGAAGTTAATTAAGAAAAGGCTGTTCAAATAACTTTAAACGCAATTTTGAGTATGTATTACACCATTCAAAATTGTTCCTTTTGAGTAAGATTATGTAAGAAAACGAATGACAATATTTTCCCAGCAGATGAAAAAATACTTCCTGGATTAGAGATCATGATTCACATGATTATCTTCGTCTTATCAATCGCGGCAGATGTTAGGATGAAATTGAGGTATCTGTTTGGAGCTAGAAACGTAACCTTCTCATCCGAAATAAAAATCCAGATAAGGTACGGCCTGGACTGCTGATCATACGATTCTGAAGTGATGATATTTCAACTAAACTGTACACCGGGTCTTTATAATTCGTCTCTCAACATTGGGATCGCGGAAACAGTAAGACATACAGTCGATTGAATGAGGGCAAAGTGTTTCGGAATTAGGTAACTAACACTTGAAAAGTTTTCCAAATCAGAATATTCCCGCAGATAGATAAAAAAAAACCGTATTTTACCAAAACGGTTTTTACTTTTCTTGACTTTACATGGAGTGGGGTTTCAAAATAAATTTTACGTTAACACCACCACCTTTTCCCCTCTACAAGGTAACGTAATTGGAACTACAATATGTTTCGTCTTTTATCCTGTCACTAACTTTACTTTTCCGAAAGCCATATTGAACAGTCTTTTGTGTTTATGCCAAAGATATATTAGTTATTTCAAAAAGACAAATATTTTCATAGTTGGCCTTAAAAACGACAGCTTCTCACATGTTCACTCATACATCGCAAACTGAAAACTTCTTCAGACTTTTAGAAGTGTCATTAGAGACATTTAGATAAATCATTCTTTCATTAACAACAAGCATCATTTTTAGCACGAGGTGGCTTCTCTACATAACACATCAGCCATAGATTAATAAACAATATAAGGTAGTGCAAGATGCATGCACCGATTTAGGTATGCTGGATATGAGTCCTGTTTAGTGACCTGCAACATCGTCGAACCTTTCACTTAGTTTTTATGATAGTGCTTTTCCAGTGTTTTTAGTAGTACCCTCGAATAATATAAAACAATTTGCTTATTTTGTTCTTAAATCGATGATGCTATGACCAACTATAAAAGGATTACTTTTTTGACATTTGGAGTTTTATATCAATCCATGTCGTGGTGATACGTACAGTATCGGATGATTAAAATTGGAAACATGGACTGCTTGCCTATGTTTGGTGCATAGAACCCGAAGGCGCTTTTGTTTTTCCTTGATAAAAATTGTTTTGCAATATTATTATACGTCATGTTACAAATTTTTGAAAGCAGAAATAAAAAACTATTCACCTATGCAAAAAATCCAATATGGCGTCCATGAAGTATGTTTATGATTGACGACAAGAGATAAAACGTAATATTGAAAGTGAAGCTGTCTTCTTAATTACCTGTGTTCCCCATTTAATCGACTTCAATATATTTACCGGTTCCGAGAGCTCAATGGTGACAGCCAAATTTAAAGCACTTGATATTTTGTGCCGTTTGGAGGGTGATGCGATTCATCGATGATACTTTCTGAACGAGGATTTCACACATCTCTCAGATGAACGACTGTCGATAATTCGTCTACCGCATGCCTCTCTGAACTTTCCTATCTCGGCGAAGTTCTGTATATGAGAACTGGCTTGTACCGTCCGTCGCTTCGTTGTTAATTGGGTATCAAGAATGAGGATTAGTACGCTTAAATCGGCGTTTGTACAGATACACTAACCTACAAACTGAGTTGAATGATATCTATTTAGCTTATCTACGGTAGTTGCAGGGCACCGGTATCTAGCCTGTAGCTATAAATTTATATTGAAAAAGTGCACAAATTCCTGTAAACGGCAGATTAAAGTCACAACTAGAACGTTCGCTATTCAACATCATAACTCACCAAGTACAGCTATTAGCATTCAACCTGTTTTATCCCATAATCACAGAATGACTGCACAGATAGAGGCACGCTCTTCAACGCGCGACAACTGTAACGTGCAAAAATAAATAGTGATAAAATGTTTTGCTACGCTCGATATACCTTAACTACTCCAGAGGTAATATTTTTCACGCCTATGTATTTTTAGCGTGTGTAAAATACCGCAGCATATGTAGTAGCCGTGGCAATAGCTAGTAGACGCTTTATCAAGATGCCTCGGTATGTTACTGCAAATATTTGTGAATGGGTTGGTAACTCCTTGCTCAAACTTGGATTAATGTAAACACTGCAATCTTGTGCAAGGCCTGTGATTCCTTTGAAACAGTTAACGTTGTTTTATGACAGTAACTCTGCTAGCAAAACAACCGCACGCGTTTATGTTTGCTCTTCGTATTTGGTCAAATAGCTCGAGTAAGACTAGAAGTAAAAATTTCAAGTAAAAACTAAATCACTCGTTATAACATCACACACCCTGTTCTTGAATACGCAACCGATGCAACACCACGATCTGTAATTATGAGTGATCCAGTTTGCAGTTATTGTGACTCCTCTATCAGTGCTAGAACAAAAAGTGTTAAATGTGAAGGTTTTTGTGGAAAATTTTTTCATGCCGCTTGCCAGGGCTTATCAGCTGATGTAGTAAAAACCATTGAAAAGAGAAACGGTTTGTCGTGGAAATGTAATCCGTGCCAATCGTATACCAGCGAAGTGCACGAGATTCTAGATGCTAGACTATCCAGCTTGGTAAACGAAATTCATCAGCTATTCTCTAGTGTTCGTTCAGAAATTCTGGAGATTGCCGTGAAAAAAATTAGTACTGTTGAGTTACCTGAGATCAATGATAAGAAATCGTATTCGGCTATTACGAAAGGAAAATCGGCAATCATCATCAAACCTAAAGATGCAACGCAAAATACACAAGCCACTAAAGCCGACATGCTTCATCACGTGAATCCAGTCGCAGAAAATCTTCAGCTTTCCGGGGTCAAGAACGTAAAGAATGGGGGGATCCTAATTGGTTGCAATTCTGATGACGACAATCTCAAGCTCAAGAAAATTGCTGCGGAGAAGCTTTCTGACAAGTACGAAATCAAGGAGGTTGCTGGATTCAGTCCTAGAGTACGGGTTGCGGGTATGACTGAAAAACAATCTGCGGAAAACTTTATTAATTCCATTAAGTCTCAAAATAAAGATGTGCTAAGTGAGAAATTTGAATGTAAGGTTATAGACATTAAGCCAATCAAGAAAAGAGTTGACATTTTCCAAGCCATCCTTCAATTAGACTACGGTACTTATAATAAAATTATGTCTGTCAACAAGGGTAAGTTATTCGTGGGGTATGATGTTTGTGGCGTGTATGATGAAATTTCTATCAAGCGATGTTTCAATTGCAGTGGTTTCTCCCATGTTTCTGGTCAATGTAAGAGCCAAACTCACTGTCCTCGGTGTGGCGATAGCCACTTACTGAAAAACTGCAAGGCCACTAACTTAAAATGTATTAACTGTGTTAGAAATAATCTAGATAGAAATACCAACTATGACATGTCACATGCGGCTTGGGATTCTAGGTGCCCATGTTACTTACAAAAGGTTGAGGAGTTTAAAGCTAGGTTATTTTTTTCTTAGTTCGGATTTTCCCGATGAAATCCCTTATGAACAGTTAAATACTCAAAATTTTGTAAGAGTTTCTACTTCTACCTTTTCTGATCGTCGCATCTCTGTTTACTACCAGAACGTACGCGGTATGAACTCTAAGTGTAAAGAATTCTTTGTAAATGTCGCTATGTCTGACTATGATATCATCTGTTGTACTGAAACTTGGCTGCAGTCTGCAGTACTTAGTTCTGAATTATTTACTGACAAATATGTTGTATTTAGAGCGGACAGAAATTTCTCTGCGATGGGGTGTTCTAGAGGAGGTGGTGTCTTAATTGGTATTCGTAATCAACTTGCTGCTTCAGAGGTCAATATGACTTTTATCAGAGACGATATTCCCAGTATTGACATAATTGGAATCAAACTTAGATATAAAAATGAAGTGACTTATTTCTTTGTGATATACATACCGCCTGATACGAGTACTTCCTGCTATGAAAGATTCTTTGAACATCTAGAATCGCTTGATTACCTCTTTGGCAAAAGTATTTATATACTAGGTGACTTTAATGTTCCGGAATTTGTTAATGAAAATCACCTCCAATCTTCTCACAAGCAGAAAACAATTCAGTCATTTATGGGTTTCTTCGATCTTTCTCAATTCAATGATGTTCGGAATGAAAATAATAGGCTATTAGATTTAGTGTTATCAAATAAACAATGTAGCGTCGTTAAGGCTTATGATGACCTACTACCTGAGGATGTTCACCATCCTCCGCTTGTCATGATAATCAACAGGAGCTTCCATTCTAAAAAGAGTATCAAATGCGCCAGAGAATCATATAATTTCAGAAAAGCCAATTTTGTAGCACTATATGAACAAATAAGCTTGGTTAATTGGACGTTTCTTGACAATTTAACAGATGTAAACGTAGCTTTGGAAACATTTTATAACATTCTTCGTAAAATTTTTAATATGTGTGTCCCTAGGACAAGTCTCAGATCTCTCAAATTTCCGGTTTGGTTTAACGGTGAAATGATTAGAGACATTAAAAGAAAAAATTTGCTACACAAAAAGTTTAAAAAGGATAAAAGTTTGATCACATACACTGAGTTCAAAGACTTAAGGACCAAAATTAAGCGCGATGAGCGTAACGCATATCAAAAATATCTAGTAGATATCCAAAGTAGACTATCTCAGGATCCGAACAATTTCTGGTCATTTATCTGTAATAAAAGGGGACAAAATTCCACAATCAGCCAAGTAAACTATAATGGTAAGCAGTATGACAAACCCAATGAAATTGCTAATGCTTTTGCGCTATTTTTTCAATCTGTATATACTATGCCTTCGAACGCAACTGATATCAATATTTCGGACTTGCATACTAACATAATACTTCAGAGCTTTTCCGAAGAAGAAGTTTTTACAGTGTTAAAGCAAATGAAAAATAAATTTACCTCCGGACCCGATGGAATTCCATCGTTTTTAGTGCGTGACTGTGCCTACGTCTTAGCTCATCCCTTGACAAAGATCTTCAACCTATGTTTAAAGACTGACACGTTTCCTGAAATTTGGGGCGAATCAAAGGTGCGTCCCATTTTCAAGAAGGGTGATAGACTACAGGTTGAAAATTATAGACCGATAACCCTAGTATGTATCTTTTCCAAGGCATTAGAAACTTTGCTTCATAATTTCCTATACCACAATACACATGCCCAAATAAGTACTTCTCAGCATGGCTTTATGAAGGGTAGATCAACCATAACTAACCTAGCCTGTTTTACTCAGTCAGTCTCCTCTGCATTAGATGCTAATAGCCAGGTGGATGTAATTTATACAGATTTTAGTAAAGCATTTGACAAACTTGATCACAGTATTCTGTTAACGAAGCTGAGCTATTTTGGATTCTCCCCCAAGCTGTTATCCTTTCTTAAGTCATATCTATCAGGAAGAAAGCAATATGTTGAATATGAGGGTGTCAAATCCATTGAATTCTTTCCAACCTCAGGGGTACCTCAAGGCTCCTGCTTAGGTCCTTTGCTTTTCATACTGTTCATAAACGATATTGTTAGCGACATCGACAGCAGCCACTTAATCTATGCTGATGATCTGAAAATTTTTTCCAATGTCGACTGCAGCACTGACTGTGCTCACTTACAAAAAGACCTAGCCAAAATAGTTAAATGGTGTGCTGTAAATCGACTTCCAATTAACTACAGTAAATGTAGTGTTATGTCTTACACCAGAAAGCTAGATATTATTACATTTGACTACAGAATTGGCAATCATTCTCTGCTGAGAGTACAAGAATGCAAGGACCTGGGTGTGATTTTCGACATGTCACTTAGCTTCAATCCTCATATTGAGTACCTTATTAATGCTGTCAACAGATTATTAGGATTTGTAATACGTAACTCAAAGGAATTAAGTAACAAAGATGCCATGATTATGCTTTATAATTCATTCATACTGTCTAAATTAGAATATGGACGGCTAATATGGAATCCATGCTATGTTACAACTTGTGGCTCCCTGGAGAAGATTCAGCGGAAATTTCTGAAATTTCTTTCATTCAAAATTGACGGTACGTACCCACCCATTGGGGTCCCACAGGAAGACCTGTTACGGAAGCACAAGTTTATCAGTCTTGATAACAGAAGAAAGATTCACTCGCTAATATTCCTGCATAAAGTAGTGCATAGCAGTTATGATTGTCCATCATTTCTAGCACAGATTAAATTTAATGCTCCAAAATTTGTTACTCGCAATACACTCACTTTTTACCTACCTACCCCACGAACTAACTTACTGTTGCACTCACCTTTGTACTCGATGTGTTCATGTTATAATAGTCTACAGAGTACATTTGATTTGTTCAACACAAGTATTTCGAACATTAAGAGAGTTTGCAGTGAAATGATTTAGTTTTTAGTTTTCGTTGTATTTTTATATGTTTTTTTTACTATTTCTTTTGTTGTTTTGCCACCAGTAATTGGTTAACACTGTTGGTGGTGGATTTCAATAAATAAATAAATAAATAAATGACAAATGATTCGTTAGATAGCACACGTGCAGGAAGTAACTATGAGCTACTGCTTTCACTATCGTAAAAGGCGCATTTGCTCTTTCATAGTAGAAGACTATAACGACTCGCCCAGGAAAAGAACGGAGAAAGGACTAAGAGATTAAATGGTAGAGTCATACAAGCTGTGAAACCAGGCTGAAATTTAGGTGTATTTTTGACGGGAATCTTAAATTCAATCCTCACGTGAATTACGTTACTAAGGCTTGACCCGCGGAGCCTAAAGTTTGACCTTGGGCACAAAATCACAAGGCGTTTTTGAAGTAATGTATTCAATAAATTTAGTCAACTTTAATCTCAATATTAAATAAAGAAGTTCTTTATAAATCACCTGGTTCAGCTACAAAAGCTCATTTTTCCATTTGTCCCG